CAGGACATTAGACGTGTCCCACAGGATTAAGAATGTTTTCAATTCAGTAAGCCCTGGTAATACCTTGGGGATTTCAGGTCAATACTCTTTACAGAAAGACGTTCAGTTGTCTGAGGGAAAGGAGACACTGTGTAATGTTGTACGTGATACAGTTGCAAGAAATGGTTTGTGAACCCTTTGGAATAACCTGGATTTTTGCATCAATTACTCATACGAATGTGGTCTGATCTTCAACAAAGTCACAATAATAGACAAACGCGATCTGCTTAAACTAATAACACACAAACAAATGTACTTCTTATCGTCATTCTTGCAACTGTACAGTATGTAAGTCTTGGAGGAGCATTTGTGCCACCTAGAAATCCTTTTGCTCAAGCTCTCTCTGGACCAGTGAGGAGCAAACAAAAGCAGTGTGCTGGGCCATCTGAATATCTGAATTCTGTACACAAAGCAGCATGACAACAAAAGTCTAATTTTGTAATAATCCTGTAGGTGGATGGCGTGGGATGGGGTTTTCAGAAGTTATAAACCCCATGTGAGTCTTCAATCTAGATTTCAGCAGCAGATTAGCATTAGCTGGTCTGAGTGCACTGCCATACTGGGTGTAATCCAGAAAAGGACATTGTTACAGTTTACAGTTACAGTTCGTGACATTCTTGACGTCACTTAGTTCTCCGTCTGAGAAGTTAGGACGAAGACTTGGATAAAATGTCTCTCTCAGCCTTTGCCAGAAAAGGCTGTAGATTAACAAAATGTTTTTGCCAAAGAAGAATAAAGTAAAATTAAGAGTATTGTTTTCTCATGTTAGTGCTAACAAACGGAGACCGTTTTTATGGAGATGTTTAAAAATTGTCTGCCTTCTTTTAGTTTTTATGTTTGACGTATTACATTATTAAGTTTGAAAGATTTTTTTTTCTGTTTTTGCCTATCTTATTTGCTGTTTGGACATTAAAAACTCAGCCCTCTGATTCCGTGTTGAAGTATTGTGTATAATGTCTTTAATATCCTTATAAAATATGTAGATTACTTGTTAAACTAAGCCTAATGCAGGACATGTTTGGTCACCATTACGATGGAATCCAAAATATTGAAGTTAGTGTTATGAAATCAAATATTTACTTAATTTTGGTTTTCTAATAGTGTGAAAGAATTTTGACTTTACTCGTCATATCAATTTTTCTTTAGGGTGTTCTAAATATCCCAGAATTTCAATGGCTATCGCAGCTTAGAAAGTGCAGTCTTGAATAGCTCTCATTTTCCCCTTAAATGCATTATCCTGTTACAGAGGCAGTAGAGCCTGGTTTAGCGATTATGCAGTTTGCACCACCTACAACCAAGTTTGCATTTCAAATGGTGTTCAGTCATCTGTAAAGTCGGAAATATTTCCTTGCGTGTATCCTGTATAGATTATACTAGCTGTAGAAACTTAAATTTGTGGTGTAAAATGTGTCTCTTATGTAACCTTTTTAGACTGCTTGTTTCGCACATGCTCTGTCAGTGTTTCACAGGCCTTAACAAACAGGAAAGTAGGCAGTACGTATTTGATGTTGGTAAGTGCCTCAGGGTTACTTACATTGCACACGGTTTATATTTCCTACACTGCTGTAAGATATTATCTACTGTAAGTGGGAAACTGACATGTTAACACATTTTCAGCTGAACACAGACTTGAACAGGACACACACGGTTTATGTTCTGTTTGTCGGTGGAAATGTGTGTTTGTGTCGTGTGGATCCGCAGAAACAAGGCGCCTTTTCTAGGATTATGTGACACAACAGACTACACCTCAATACTTCACGTCTGCTGTATTATATGATATGCATTGGTGCGTGTTTGATGTACCTTTGAATGGCTCTCTCTTCAGGAAAAAAAATATAATTTTGAGAGCTAGCCTCCTTCTGAGAGGACGCTAAAATCGATCAGAAACAGTTTTTGTAGAAAGTGAATTTCACCTAGAAGTAAGAAACGGTTGTCTGTCTTTGTGACCTAGTATGACTTTCATCTATTTGGACCAGAGCAGTGTTTTTGAAGGCTTTTTCTCTGACTAACGGGACTTCTGTTTAACACAGTATTCATAGGAATCCCCCCCCTTACGCTTGAAAAAAGCAGCATTGCATGCCCAGAAACAAATGTTAAAATAGGCAAATTCAGAATCCAAGATCCTTTTACTGTATGCTGTTTTGAATTATTTTGCCGTATTAACTGTAATTCTAGCTCAGGTCAAGAATCAAAATGATTTTTTTTTCTAGGGGGGAAGTATCGATTTATTTACTCTAAAAGAGGACTGGTGTATGAAGCGGTTATTTTATTATTGGGATTGAGCTGTCTGGAAGGGTTTAAATTATTTTGATGGGAGGAGATTACAGAACCGCTTCAGCTCAGGAACAGCAATTTGTATTGACTGCCCACAGCTGAGCGAAGTAATGATATCCTCTGCACCTGCCTTCGTCACAAGAAAAGAGATTTAGCCTGACAGACTCAATGAAACCACAGCATTTTAAAGCTCACAATAAGGCGACTTTTTGCAATGCCAAATCCGTTACAACAGTGATCGGAGCCCTATGTTAATCAAATGGCCGCACCTCAAATCTTCTGTGCAGGACGTCTGCAGGACCTACTGCTTACTTCCCCTACCAGTCTGTTCTCACTTAAAGAGTAAGCATTCAATTAAAATGATAATTTCATCCATACATAATTTAATTCATCCAATGTGTTAACAGAACAGAGTCCCACAGTACTGTAAACTAGCAGTGTCTTCTTTGTAACAATGTGGGGAGTGTTGATATTTTTTCCTTGCTGTTATACCACAGGAGATTTTTTTGAATTTCTTTTAAATTCACACTTAAACTTGTGCACGTAGAGTATGTCGTTTTTAGTAATACGTTCTTGCTTGGATATTGGATAGATTCAGTAATAACTCTGCATGAATCTGGTTTATCCCTAACTAATTGACTCTCAGAAAAGGGAAATTGCTACATTGGAAGTTTTCTTCCCTACACGTTTGTTGAGTGGTGGCAGTTGGACTAGGTCGTAAAAACCCTGGTTCCTTAATCCTCCAGCATCAATCATATGCCATACTGCTCTGTGCTGAAATAGGGTATTAGTTGTCACTTTTCTGGGATTTGGACTTATACCTTAACCTCCAAGGCATA